CCTTGGAAAGGGTTAATAAAATTTTAATGGGACACAAGATAGTTCCTATTAAGGCAGATTAATAAAAAAGAGCAAATCTTCTTACTGGATTTCTCTAACTTCTTTCTTTTTATGTTCTCTATACCTCTCAAATGAGCCCTCACCATAATGCCATCTCATGTTTAATGCAGGTGAACGGGCTTTCACTGGAACTGAGAAGATTCTGGTACAATGCACTTAAGTCTTCAGAACTATGTACTCAAAAAATATTTTTTAAATTAATTAATTTATATATTTATTTATTTATTAGTTGTAGTTGGAAAAAATAAATTTATTTTATTTATTTATGTATTTTTATGTGGTGCTGAGGATTGAACCCAGCTCCTTGCATGTGCTAGGTGACCACTCTACCACGGAGCAAAAACTCTAGCCCCTCAAAAAATAATTTTATGCATTTATATCTCTTTTTATATATTGGTCTGTTTCTGATATTTTTCTATAGCATTATAAAACAGACTAAAAAAACAAAATAAAATGACTTTGAGTCTATGGCCTCTTACTATGAGAGTGAGTAGAACATCTAAGGCTACATTTTAAAAGCCCTGGTATAGTTTAGATGCTAATAGCTTAGCATTTATGATTCTTACTTTTTTTTTTATTTTTCAAAGGTGATATCTTGTATTTCTTATATTCCTCACGGTGCTTAGGTAAATGTATTGCCATTTACATTGGGACTCAACTATGTGGAATTGATTCTGTTTAGTAAAGCAAAAGCAAAAGTGGCTCCTTAAAATATAGCAAAGACTCTATGAGAATGCTTTGATATTTAATGGGAAGCATTGCTACTGATCATAGAGGAAATTTAAATACATGGCTACATTTTGATGATACCCATTAATCAGAAATGATCTCAACTGACTAGATCAAAATTCAGCCTCAGCAACTTAGTGTGGTTTCAAGCAACTTAGCAAAACAGTCTCAAAATTTGAAAAAGTAGAGAGAAGGCTTAGGAATGTGGCTCAGTGTTTAAAAATCCCTAAATATAAACTGAAATACAAAAAAAAAATACAGTTTGAAATGTTACAATTCAGTGTTAATCATAAAAAAATAGATTTCATATAATTCTTTTCTTCAGTATTCAAAAATGAAAATAGTAATTTTTGATTTAGAAAACAAAAATTACATGCTTTTAAAGATGAGGTTTCTGCACTATGCATGTATGATATTTATGACTGATATTTCTACCAAATAACTTGATAATGCTTAAAAAATTTAAACAAAAGTTAAAGACAACTACTTATTTTCTATATTTAAATGAGTAATGTCTTTTACTGATCCTCATATACATCAAGGTGCAATGTATACATAATGACTTTACTATACTCTCACATTTGTCAAAGTGTTTATTATAAATTATTCATTTTTATAAAAGGCATACATTTTGGACAAAATCTGTTCAATGTTCACTACTGGTATGAGTTTTCAGATGTTCAATAAATTTAAAATTTAAATAAGTTTTCAAAATATTATTTAACTTTTTAGGGTTTCTGGGCATAATGAATTCTCCAAAAATCAGTAGTGTTTAAGAAACATTTAGTTATGACATGTATTTTTTTCCATTTGTATTTTCTTTAACCAGTATTGAATGCTGAGTATTGGTGAATAAATTTTGGAGGCATTGTCACATTGTCAATTTTCACATTTCAAAACTTTGTCTCTTCTATGATTATTGTGGTGAGTATTAGATTTCGACTCTTTCTTAGAGGAATGGTACGATGGTCTCATTTGTAAGGCTTCTCTCCAATGTGTTTTCTCTGATGTCTAGTAATGCATGATATATAATTTAAAAAGTTTCTACATTCTCTATATTTATGTGTTCTTTCTAGAATAAATAGCTGAGTGGTGAAAAAGAATTGATTTCTTATTAAAAGCTTTGATACATTGTTTTCATTTGTACAGGTCCTTTTCTGCATAAATTCTGTTGTTAATGAGGGTTAGTTTTTCTTTAAAAGTATTGTCACTTTATTTACATTTCACATTCACCAGGGTGTCTTCTGCTGTGGTGAATAAAGTTTTATTTTTTATTAAAAGTTTTGCCACTTATGCACATTTGTAGGGCTATTCTCCAGTGTGAATTCTGCTGTGGTGAATAAGGCCTGTTTTATGGCTAAAAGCCTTGCCACATTCTTATATTTGTAGGGATTTTCTCCAGTATGAATTATGTTGTGGCAAATTAGCGTTGATATTTGAGTAAAACCTTTGTCACATACTTTTTCATTTGTGAGGCTTCTCTCTAGTGTGAGTTCTTCTGTGGCAAATAAAATGTGATTTTTTGACTGAAAGCTTTGCTGCATTCTTTACATTTGTAGGGCTTCTCTCCAGTGAGTTCTTCTGTGGCAAATAAGGTTTGAGGTTTGACTGAAAGCTTTGCTACATTCTTGACATTTGTAGGGCTTCTCTCCAGTGTGAATTCTTCTGTGGTGAATAAGGCCTGTTTTATGGCTAAAAGCTTTTCCACATTCTTTACATTTGTAGGGCTTCTCTCCAGTGTGAGTTCTCCTGTGGCAAATAAAATATGATTTTCGACTGAAAGCTTTGCTGCATTCTTCACATTTGTAGGGCTTCTCTCCAGTGTGAGTTCTTCTGTGGCAAATAAGTTTTGATTTTTGACTGAAAGCTTTGCCACATTCTTTGCATTTGTAGGGCTTCTCTCCAGTGTGAGTTCTGCTGTGGCAAATAAGATTTGATTTTTGACTGAAAGCTTTGCCACATTCTTTGCATTTGTGGGGCTTCTCTCCAGTGTGAATTCTGGTGTGGTAAATAAGGTCTGTTTTTTGACTGAATGCTTTTCCACATTCTTTACATTTGTAGGGCTTCTCCCCAGTGTGAGTTCTTCTGTGGCAAATAAGGTTTGATTTTTGACTGAAAGATTTGCTGCATTCTTCACATTTGTAGGGCTTCTCTCCAGTGTGAGTCCTTCTGTGGCAAATAAGTTTTGATTTTTGACTGAAAGCTTTGCCACATTCTTTACATTTGTAGGGCTTATCTCCAGTGTGTGTTCTGGTGTGGTAAATAAGGTCTGTTTTTTGACTGAAAGCTTTTCCACATTCTTTACATTTGCAGGGCTTCTCTCCAGTGTGAGTTCTTCTATGGCCAATAAGGTGTGATTTTTGACTGAAAGCTTTGCCACATTCTTTGCATTTGTAGGGCTTCTCACCAGTGTGAGTTCTTCTGTGGCGAATAAGGTCTATCTTTTGACTAAAAGCTTTGCCACATTCTTTGCATTTGTAGGGCTTCTCTCCAGTATAAATTCTATGGTGGTGCACAAGTTCTGAATTATTATATGATTTCTGGTGTTTACTCTCACTTGAAGTTTTCCATAATTTCTTTTGTTGTAAATAGTCAATATTACACCCTCTATATTTTCCAATTATCACTTTGTGAAATATATGTTTTATGCCCTTTTCTGGTGAATATTCTTGGGTATCTTGAGAATTCAGGGCTGAAATAAACAATTTTTTTTTAAAAAAAACACAATACCTACTAGAGTGGGATAAATATACTTTGCATACACAACATGAAATTAAGGTAAAATAAGTACATCAGGAGTGTAGCAGAGTAGTACTTTCAAAGTCATCATAAATTCAAAAATATATCAGTTCAATAAATATGTACAGACACAGGGGCTGGGGATGTGGCTCAAGCGGTAGCACACTTTCCGGGCATGCGTGCAGCCCAGGTTTGATCCTCAGCACCACATACAAACAAAGATGTTGTGTCTGCAGAAAACTAAAAAAATAAATATTAAAAAATTCTCTCTCTCTCTCTCTCTCTCTCTTTCTCTCTCTTTAAAAAATATACATAGATAATTACCTTGAAAATATTACCAAAATTATTTTAGAGACCACAGTATCTAAGAGGAGTACATCATTAAGAAGAGTAATATAATAAAGAGAAGGAAAGTATGTTACTTTTATCATCCACAGCCTTTTGTCCTTCATAAGGTAGCATTACGTATTTAGGAAATATCTACCAGCTACCTTCACTCTCAGTAGAATAAAAGAAATGTAAAACATATACAAACATTTGTGGCTTTTTCAAAGAGTGTTCAAAAACTGATTTTTGTCTACGATGACATAGAGATATAAAAATAACCAGTAGATTTTGAGTGATAATACCACAAATAGTCAAAAAGGGAAAAGAGGCTATGGACTTTTAATAAGAAATATGAACAAAAAAATTATTAAGAAAAATACACATATATGTCTATTAAATTTTCCATAAAAACATTTTAAAAGACTATAAAAATCTTGTATAGCCTATGCCATAATACATGGATGAAGTCAACACATGACAATCAAGTAAATAAATTGATTTTCATATTTTTAAAATCATGTGATATGACGATTTATTTAATTGACAAATACAACTTTATTTACTAAATATATTATGGTATTTTATACTATATATAAAAGGTAAAATGACTAAACAGAATGAATTAACACAATAATTATTTCTTATACTTATCAGTTTTGTTCTTACAAGGTATTGTATTACTTCTACTAGTATTTATGAAGAACATAATACACTCACCATTTGGTAAAACAAAACTCTTGACCCTCTTATGCTCAATAAAATAAAAATATGGAGACTTTGACTATAATGTCAACCCTACACAAAACACAATACCTGGTGAGCATAATTTTACTCACCAAATTTTTGACTTCCACATGTCAATCAAATAGTCCTGCAACTTAATCTCTGCCATCCACATTTCACTTAATGCAAATCCTGAATGTATTCCTTAAAACACTTTATAGGACAAAATATTTTCATTACTAAATAATAATAATATACAAGCACAATATTTTTACTCATTTGATCATTGATGGGCACATACATTGAGTCCCTACCTTTAATACTGAAAAAATGTTTGCAATAAACAGAAAAGCAGAGGTATCTCTTCAATTTTCTGATTTAATTGAATATGGATACATATTTTGTACTGGCATTTCTGAATCTTTAGGTCATCCAACTTTTAATTTTTCATGTGTGGTTCCTCAGATTAACCCCCCAAATTTGATATCACTGAACTACAACACAAGTCTTTTTAAAATTGTTTTAAACATGCTGTTACCACCTTTCTGTGACTTCCCTCAAACATGAAGTACTTTTGAATGGCCCACAAATTACCAAATATTACAAGGATACAGCACTGTTCTTGCGTATTTTTATTTATTTAAAAGTTTTTATACTTTTTTTTCCAAAATGGACTATATAATCTACTGTTGGCTCCTTTAATGAACAAATAAAAAATAGTACAGCAAATATAAACAAAGAGAAACATGGCTTAATCCAAGTAACAAGATAAGAAAAAAAAAATTAAGAACTGAACATTAGGATACTGACAGTTATGAATTACTCAAAGAACACTAAATAACTATTTAAAGAAAGTTTAAAGAGTAAAATTGTGAAAAAAAATATTAATATATTTAGGCACAAATTGTGTATGTGAATAATTCTTTAAGAATAAATGACAGGGGGATTCCTATTGTGCAAAGCTAAAATTCTACCAATATGAGAGAGGCTTATCAAGCATGACCAAGGTTAAGTCTAAACAACTTGTGAAATACTGTAAAAATTAAAAACCTATAGAATATATAAAGGGTATCTCTCTCTCTAAGCATGCCACAATAAAAAGCTATGATCCAGAAATTAAATAATTAATCAAAATAGAAAAAAATATGAAATATAGAAAACAACTTGCAAAGTAGAATTATTATGAGCTATTCACTTCAAAATATTTATGATCATCAATGCATTATTGCAAGTAACAAAACAAAAGAATTGAATCTTTAATATATATATATATATATATATATATATATATATATATATATATATATATATATATATATAATTCCACCTTATCAGCATGGCAAGATACTATGCTTTTGATCACATGGGGAAAAGCATAGACTGTTAAACTTATGCCAACATGTTCTTTTTGACTCTAGCTTGATGCATGAAATATAGCAATTATAAATGTATATCAGGGACTTGACAAGCTTATTCATAAAATTCATTTAACCCTGGAAGAGAAGAGTCCCTCCAAACAAGAGAATAATCATTCTCCTCAAAAGAGGAGAAACATTAAAAGAGGAACACAAGATACTATAATTCCAGTTACATGGGGGAAATAAAACCGTTAATAGCCTCAGCTCAAAAGGTGTTGGCTCAAATAGGTTAGAATGTACTCTGGATAACTTAGTTACTGCTTTGATTGCTACACTCACTCAAAACTCTGTAAATGTTTTGGTCTTAATAATAATGTTACCCTGCTTTTGTACACCCGCTGTGGGAAATTCAGTACTGTCAGATCCTGGACTTCTACAACCCATTACAATACCTTGACTCACTTGAATGAAATTGTTGTATACCTGCAAAAATTTCTAATGGTACTCATTGTTGTCTTAGCAGAATAACTGTGTCCTTATCATCCACATAGTATTTAATAGGTCACCATCCTGTGCAATTTATTTACAAAAGATCTATTCTTCTTGATAAAAACTGTGATAATTGAGTGAACCTTCTCTCTAAGGCAGAATGTGATACTTTGACATTCTCCTTAGAGGGTTTCCTTGGACTAGCTCTATGGCCTTATGAAACAACTATGAAATTCACCTATCCTATCATAAAAAGTATTAGCCATGCCTCCATGGCTGTTAATATGCTTAATGAAGAACAAAAACAACATTGTCAAGCCATACTTGACATTCATGCTGCACTTGAGTGTCTGGTATTGTTACATCATAATGGATATCATAAGTTTAATAACATGTGTTCCTTCAATGTAAGTGATAATAGTAATTTTATTTCTAAAGAGTTAGATTACCTTAAAATATCATTAATAAGGTCCAACAAGATGATTGATGTTTAGACTTGTTGGATTGGATAATTTCATGTTTACTCAATTTGATCTGGGTCAAAAAATATTTATAGGTGGATATTTACTGATGTTGGCACTTGCTGTTGTGTATGGCTGCCTTATTTTTTGCCCCCACCAGCATTAACAAGATAAGTAATATTACTTTTTCAAAAGGTATTTAAAAAGGAGGGGAGGCTGTAGGTATTCTGACCATGGAAATAGACAGGAAAGTGTGGGGGTGATGATAACTGGCACCCTGAGTTCCACAATAGTAATGCCTAGCAGTTTCTCCCTGAAGCTATTAAGACAACTCTACAGGTGCACTATCTAGTTTCTGTGGTAATGTCCTTAGGGAGAAAGGGATCTATGTTTGTAGTAACTGTACCTTATCTTGGTTAGCTATCACTTGGGGTTAAAATAACACTAGGTTAGAATGTAGTCATGGTAACAGAAGCTATGATATTTTGGGGTATACAATGTACAGCCGGGATGAGGAGTGGCCAGTTTTTTTTTTTCTTTTTTCCTTTTCACTGTATGTCTCTCTCTTCTGTTTGCTTCTTTACAGGTTTCCTCACAAGATTTGTAACAGATCATGCTGGCCCTCAGAACAAAAGGTAAGTTTTGGTCATTAGTCTGAATAAACTGGGACATCACTAAAGAAGAAAACAGAGGACTACAAAGGATTTGAAAATGTAATAAATGTAGGGTAGTATGTGTTCAAAGATTACAATAAAAAGAAATAAAGCTAAGCTTCTGAAATTTTTTTTCTGCTGAATAACTACTCTGTCAACATTTTTTAGTTTTGTTTTCTCCATTTGAACGTCTCAACTGTGTCCCCTGCTATGTTAGGCTACAATAGTTTACATCATTAAATTATGCTAGGTAAAACTTATCTAAAGTGAAAGATGTATAACACACCAAGGAAGAGAGAGATTAAAGAGCAAAATAATATATATTAAAGAATAAAATATCTATATTAAAAATGCCCTTTTTCTTTGAAACAAAAATCTGAAACTCATTCTTATAGAGAAGTTCCCAGAAGATACAACAGAAGTAAATTAAATAATAATTATTAATTAAAATTTTTAAAAGGAAATTAAACTTACCAAGGAAGGTAAAGTTTCTATAGTTCTCTAACATCACATCTTTATATAAGTTTTTCTGAGCAGGCTGAAGGCATTCCCACTCCTCTTCAGTAAAATCAATGGCTATATCCCTGAATGTTAACAGTATCTGAAATAAAAACAGATAAATAAATAACACATTGACCACATGAACATTTGCACAGTTTGCAAGGTAATTGAAGTTGAAATGAGAGTTAATAAATTATCATGTAGGTGGTGAGTTGGAACACAATGACACTTTATCTACTTCTGCAGATAAACTGATTTAAGTTCAAAAAAGTATATATATTCTGCATTTATGAAACACAATGTAAAACTCAGGCATTACCACAAAAATATATATTTTGTGATTTTTTATATAATGATCTAAACTATACATATTTTTCAGATGAGAAAATTATGGTAATTAAGAAAGGGATTCCTCAAATTTTAATTGTACAACCACTAATCAGAGATTTACTAAAGTGTAGAATCTTATTTGTTATTTCTCTAATGGAGCTGGCTATTCTGAATATGTAGTGAGATGTCTAGTAATTCCAATACCAATGGTATGACAGAATTTTTGAAATGTAACAAGGTAGGTAGACCACTTAATGGAAATATTTAACAGTGAATTCAAGTTCAAATATTTTATGGTATTTATGTATGTTATTAATATAAAGAATAGCAATAACAATCCTGTTTGGATTTTCCTTTTTATACTTTTAACAATTTATAACATACAAAATAATTTATACATTTATATAAAACCTTTGATTGATGTATATATTGTATGATGTTTATAATAGAATATACATATAGCTTTTCAAACAAATATAATTTTTTTATTGGTTCTTTCTAGTTTTACCTGATAGTAAAATCAATTTTATGGCATTATGCAAGCATGGGATATATCTTATCCTAATTAAAATCCTATTCTTGTTGGTAGCTATCATGGTAGGATATATATCTTTAATATTTCTATCCCCTTCCCTTTTATTTATTTATTTATTGTTTACCATTGTGCAATCTACTGCTCATTGCTGGTTCCCACCAGAGTCAGTGCAGCCAGTTTCAACCAGACTCACTATCCAGTCTCAAGATTTCTCTGCACACTCATCATTTACTGTATTTGTAGGAACCAAGTGTCCTCCCTATAAATCACAAAGTACGCATACAGAAGAAAAAAAATCAGGTTCACTGAACATAAGTGAGGGAGCCTAGAAATGGATACCCACACTGGCAGGCTTCACACCAGATGGTCAAAACTTGCTTCTCTTTACTGAATGTGTGTGGATTGGACAATGCTTATATAAGGGCTCTTGATGGGACACAGCTTATGTCTTCATATGTTCAATCTGAGCCTAGTGAGTTTTTTTAGTGACAGGAGATAACCTCAAATCCACAAATAAATGATGTCACAATTGTAGGGTCTTATCTGTACATTTAATTTTTATTTCTTTTGAAGCTCTGGGAATTGAAATCCAGTTCCTCAGGCTACAGCTATTTTAAGGCAAGGAATCATTGGAGAAGTAAAATTCAGCCAACCCAGAAAAACATTTTATTTGTAGAATATACATGTAAATATATTATTTATGGATGGAAATAATACAGTGACAATCCTGTAAAATTTTAGTTAACATCTCTTGTATGGAAACATATTGAACATTAAAATTATATAAGGTCAAAAAATATTTTTTTTAGAATTTATATAAAAATATAAAAATTGAATTTTATAGCACAACACAAATTATCCACTATGTGAAAATTACCATTATGTGACTAAAATATTACTAATGAAGTATATGTATTTTTGGAATAGCACCATCAAACTATGTCAAGACTTCAGAAAATCGCAGTTCATTACCATATTTGAGCGTTATGCTTGTCCTGAGTTCAGGAAGATGAAGGACATGACCATTTCTTTATATGATACAGGTTAAAGATACATTTTTTTTTACCAATATTTCTCCTAAGATATAAAAATCTAGAGAGAAACTGCCCTGAGTGAGGGCAGGGAGATTCAACAAGAAAGTGTATGATGTGTGATTTTGTGTGTGTGTGTGTGTGTGTGTTTTCCCCAGATCCAAAGATTTGAGTCTATTATTTAAATTGATTAATGGAATATTCCTTATTTTATGGCATGTCCGTAGACCCAATGGCCTATCTATAACATTTTCCTTTAATTCCTAGGATGAAAGCCCCTTAAGAAAGTGGAATTGAAATAAAGATGAATTGTGTTGTTATGAATGATGTCATACACCTCTAATCCCAGGTAAAGGATTTGAAATTTTGATTCTTTAGGAATACTACTAAAGCACAAAAAAAAATAGAAACAAGTGTCACTAAATGGAATGAATTCAAACTGAAAAGATTCTTCTCAGCAAAAGAAACAATCAGTGAGGCAAAAAGTGATACCAGAGAATGGGAGCAAATTTTTACCACATGCACATCAGATAGAACCCCTAATTTCCAGGATATATAAAGAACTTAAAAAAACTTAATGCCAAAAAAGAAATTTCCCAATCACTAAATAAAATGGGCTAAGGAACTGAAGAGACACACTTCTTAGAAGATAATCAATAAATCAATCAATAAAAAATGTTCAACATGTCTAGCAATTAAAAAATTGGAAATCAAGACTACTCTAAAATTTAATCTTAGTTCAATAAGAATGGCAGTTATTAAAAATACAAGCAAAAATATATGTTGGTGAGGATGTGGGGAAAAAGGCCCACTGTTACACAGTTGGTAGGACTCTAAATTGGTGACACCAATGTGGACAAAGAATAAAGAGATTCCTTAGAAAACTTGGAAAGAAACCAAAATTGACCCAGCTATCCCACTCCTCAGCTTAGACCAACAAGAGCTAAAAACAGCATAATACAGTCACATATCCACATTAATGTTTATAGCAAAACAATTCACAATAGGTAAACTATAGAACCAACCTATATGCTCTTCAATAGATGAATAGATAAAATATGGTCTATGTACACAGTGAAATATTACTGAGCATTAAGAGAATAAAATTATGGAACTGGGAAGTAAATGGATGGAGTTGGAGAATATCATGTTAAGGCAAGTAAACCAATCCACTAAACCAAAGACTAATGTTTACTCTGCTAAGTGGATCCTGATCCACAATGAGGGAAGTGGGAGGGAGCATAGAAGAAATAAAGAAACTTTGAATAAGACAAAGGGGAGGGAGGTGATGGGAGATGGTATAAAGGTAAGTAAGATGGTAGAATGAGATGGAAATATTTTGTACACAAAGTAGTGTTACATGGGTTTTGTAATTATACTTTCTGTATAAGAGAAATAAAATTTTTTACTCCACTTGTGTACTATGAAGTGAAATGCATTCTTCTCTAATAGCAAGTTAAAAAAAGTTAATTGATTTTTAAAAAATCAGGAAAGAGACTTGCCTTCCCCTAGATTTATATATAAATGTATATATGCATATATTCTATATATAACATGCATATATTTAATATATATAATTTATAAACAATTTTTCATATTTTAATCGATTTTTTAAATAAATGATAACAGAAACATTACAATTCTTATACCATGTATAGAGCACAATTTTTCATATCCCTGGTTGTATATAAAGTATGGTGATACCAATGTGTGTCTTCATACATGTACTTTTGATGATGAACTATATTACATTCCACCAATCTTGCTAATCCCATGCCCCCTTTCTTTTCTTCTTACCTCTCTTCTTTATTGAGAATCCATGTATTTCTCTCATGCTCCCCTTCCCTACCCCATTATGAGTCAGCCTCTTTATATAAGACAAAACTTTTGAAATTTTTTTTGAATTGCCTAGCATCACATAGCATTATTTTCTCGAATTCTATCCATTTACCTGCAAATGCCAGATATCATTATACATCTAGAAAACTCAAAAAGCTCCACCAGAAAACATCTAGAACTAGTAAATAAATTTAGCAAAGTAACAGGATATAAAAGCAACACCCATAAATTAAAGGCATTTCTGTATATTAGTGAAAAATCTTCTGAGAAAGAAATGACGATAACTACCTCATTTACAATAACTTCAAAAAAATAAGATACTTGTAAAGCAAGTTAATGAAAGAGGTGAAAGATATAAAAAGAAAAACTACAGAACCCTAAAGAAAAAAAATCAAAAAAGACCTTAGAAGATGGAAAGATCTACCTTGCTCATGAATAGGCAGAATTAATATTATCAAAATGACCATGCTAACAAAAGCACTATACAAATTTACTGCAATTCTGATCAAAATTCCAATGGCATTCCTCACAGAAATAGAAAAAGCAACCATGAAATTTATCTGGAAAAATAAGAGACCAAGAATACCTAAAGCAATCCTTAGCAGGAAGAGTGAAGCAGGTGGCATCACTATAACAGAACTTAAACTAGACTGCAGACCAATGGTAAGAAAAACAGCATGGCATTGGCAAAAAAAAAAAAAAAAAAACAGACTGGAAGATGAATGGTACAGAATAGAGGACACAGAGACTAACCTACAAAATTACAATTATAATATATTAGACAAAGGTGCCAAAAACATGCACTGGAGAAAATATAGCCTCTTCAACAAACCACTATCTCTCACCATGCACAAAACTCAAAGTGTATTAAGAACCTAGGAATTAAACCAGAGACACTGCATCTAATAGAATAAAACACAGGCTCTAATTTTCATCATGTGGGATTAGGCCCCAATTTCCTTAATAAGACACCTATAGCACAAGAATTAAAACAAATAATCAATAAATGGAATGGAATCAAACTAAAAAGTTTATTCTCAGCAAAAGAAACAATTTGTGAGGTGAAGAGAGAGCCTACATCCCAGAATGAATTTTTTACCCCTCACACATCAGATAGAGCTCTAATCTCTAAGGTACATAAGGAACTCAAAAAGCTGGGAAAATAATAATAATAATAATAACAACAACAACAAGAACAACAACCCAATCAAGAAATGGGCCAAGGATTTTAACAGAGAATTCTTAGAACAGAATATACAATCAATCAACATTTTTTCTATATATCTGATTGATTATGGTGCTCCCTTTACAGGGCCAAGTATAGTTCTGGTTCAGTTTCTAAGGAAGGGAGACATGAGCAAGAAATATTATCAACTCTTCTTTATAAATTATCAAATACAATTTTCTATGTCATTTTCTAAACATAGCTGGACATAGGAAATACAGGCTTGAAGCAGAGAACATTTTTATTAGAAACACAGTGTAAAGGAAAGACAAAAAATTATTTGCACCACATTGAACCATAAGAGAAATGGAACCTGGAATTCAGAAAAGAAAGATTCGTACTTTTATACTTGGGAATGTGGATGACATGGATGCCTAAAGTGAAAAGGTTATTACAAGCTTTTGAAAAAAAAAATCATGTGAGTGGCAGATAATGGTTAACCAATTAGTATCTGCACAGTGTCTTCCAGGGGCTTTGTCAGCTGTGCACTACAGAACATACAGGTGTTCATAGCCTCCATGAAGAGCATTATTCATCTGTGCCCTCTAAAATTATTCACATTGTACAGATGAAAAAAAAAAACATGGGTATCTGGATACTAAATGGCAATTCAGCAGCCCACAGAAAACTACCCAGAGACAAAACTTATGAAATTTCTTCAAAGACCATCAATGTATTGTTAGCTCCTGACACAGGGATGTCATTCTGGGGAAATATTATTTTCTCTCCATTTTGAAGAGAGTGCATTGAGAATACATTTCAGGGACAAGATAAATACTTTCTTTTTCATGTTAAGAAACTCTTCAGAAAACAGAGGTCACAAGACAGATTTCTTAGAAGTGTAAATGCCTAGAGATAACAACAAAAAAAATCTGTGGCCTTGAGTGACTCAGTAAGGAAATAAATCTAAAAGGCTTATTAGAAACTGAAAAGCACAAAAGTAACTATTTCTAAAAGTAAATATGTTCATTAGTTGCTATCTCCACAACATGTCATTAAGTAAATAACAAATTATGTATGAATACTTCTAGAATTGGCCAAATTTTATTCCATAAGATATTATATTAAATCACAAAATCCAGACAATAGAATTTATGATTCACTGCCAAAAATATTACAGAAAAAGGTTTTTAAGGAGTGGATGTTTACTAAATATGTCATTTAACAATTTTATTACCATATGATTTTAAAGAAATTTATTCATTTTTCTGCAGCCATAGTGTAGAGAAATTTCTTATTTATTTTTCCTGTAGTAATTAAAAAGATAAGCCCTAAAATCCACTTTAAATAACCTACCCTTACAATCATACAAGAAACCTATAATAAATGAAGAGTAAAGAAAAGAGTCAATTTTAAAGAATAAATTAAACCTTTCTTTTTCTTGAAATCAATCTCTAGCTGCATTTTGGATCCTTTTCTCATCTTTCCAGCCAAAAGATATAAAGGACAGACGTTTGAACTGCAAATTTATACTTGAGATATGTTTATTAACAATAAAAATTCAAAATTTTTAGAAATTTAAGAAATACAAAATAAAAACCCATCATGGGAACAATTAAGTAATATTGATGAACATTTAAAACAAATTAGTAATCATTAACTCAAAAAGAGTTTAAGTTAGTATCTATTTGTGGAAACTATTTTGCTATTGAATATACATGATACTCGCATCACAGAGACTTACTGAAATTAGAGCAAATGTGATCATGATAACATATAAGTATGCAATGTTACTCACGCAAAAACTTGAAGCCCAAGGGCATGGCTCAATACAATATACATCTTGGAAGAGATAAATAAAAATCTGTAGGAAAAATGGTCACTAGGGCCCGTCACATTTCATAATATATCCAGTTTAAAAAAGAGCATAAAATACTATATATAAACTTTACATAGTTGCCTTATGCAAGTGGTATTTCACATATGTACATTTTTAGAAACAAAATATGTAGAAGTTATGAGAAAATAAAAGTCACAAAAAGCACATAAAAGACTGAATTATACATCCCATGTATAGTTGATAAAACTCATCATTACAAAGGTGATAATTTTCCCCCAAATTAACCCACAATATATCTCACCAAAATTGCTATGCACAAATATGAATATATCACAGTGAAGTCTACTTTTATGTGTATTCTATAAAACAATAATTTTTGTTAAAAAAAGTATGAATAAATATATGATAGAAGAAAGTAGGAGAATAGGGAAAAGGGAACTACTGGATACTTAAGGGGAGCAAATCATATTTCATGTTTTACAGTTATGTCAAAATAAACCTGAATCTTAAATACAACAATAATGCAATAATAAAAAAAAAACAAAAACAAGCTTTACGGGCTGGGGATGTGGCTCAAGTGGTAGCGCGCTCGTCTGGCATGCGTGCAGCCCGGGTTCGATCCTCAGCACCACGAACAAAGATGTTGTGTCCGCCGAAAAACTAAAAATAAATAAATAAATTCTCTCTCTCTCTCTCTCTCTCTCTCTCTCTCTCTCTCTCTCTCTCTCTCTCCCCCCACCCTCTCCTCTCTCTTTAAAAAAAACAAAAAACAAAACAAGCTTTACTTTAAATGAAGTAAGAAACCAAAGCATAAACTTTTAAAATTCATCTACAAAGTTATATGTAACTTTGGCCAAAAACCTTTTCAATTATAAGAGCAAAAAAAGAACTTATCATGACCTACTATGTATAAATATTGTGAAATTATAATATTAAAATAATCATCAAAGAATCATGATATAAATAAGATCCCCATATGAATAAATATGTATGTAAAAACAGTATGCTTTATTGCAATAGCAAATTTTAGATTAAAAAAAAACATAACAAAAATAATCTCAGCAACTTAGATAGGACCTTTCTCAAAATAAATTTAAACCTGTTAACTCCAGAGAAGTGCGCCAAGGTAGGTTTAGAGTGGAAAGTAGAAGCTTTATTAAAGGACAGTAGAAAAGACTTTTTTCTTCCCAGAGGAAAAAGGGGACCCAAGAGGTAGAATCCATGAGAGGTATTTTTTTTTAAAATAAGGTCTTTTTTAGCTTTTTTAAAGCTAAGGTCTTCCTTCAGCTATCCCGCATTCCTGTCACATTGCTGTCCTTACTTCTGTTATCTTGCACTTATGGAATGTAGGTGGGAAGGCCCAAAGAGTGGAGGACAGGTGGGCTGAAGGAGTAATCTGGGCAGGAAGGGCTTTTGGATTAGCATCTCCATGTTTGCTGTGAGCTGCTTCATTAAAATTTCCTTGGGATGGGCTTAGGGCCTTGGGGACATTTTCAATTCCCCTTTTCCTAGACTCCATTCTCAATATGGTGTTCATTCTTGATTTTACTGGATATTAGACCCAATTTACCTAACTACACTAACTACCTATTAGTAAATCTGGCTTCACTACCAAGGATATGGCTAAGTAGTACAGTATCCCTCAGTTTATCTAACGTTAACAAAATAATAATAATGAAGAAAGTAAAAATAAAAGAATGTCAAAATGAAAATTAGCTAGCTCAAGAGGAAATTAGGTACCCCAAAATGACAGCTCCTCTCCTGCAGGAAAATGGCCCTTGGAGATTTGATTTTGATAATTATTCCACCTGTCAATCTCCAGCATCTGGGCTGCAGGAACACACCTGCCACATAGTATTTTCTGCAGAAGCTGAGGATGCCCTTTGAGCATAAGAAAGGCAGCAAAGAGTCCATGCCACTGACATGTTCCCTACCTGTTTGGCCAGTAGGACTGAGGACATAGTGGCCCAGTGGAGGAGTTAAGCCTGCAGACTCCAGAGACTGCCCAGAGTCCCAATCTGCTAGCTCCTGTTCTCAGCACAGCCAGTCTTGTGGTTCCAATAGTCTTTCTCCCCCAGCCTCGTTTGCTAGGCCAATGCACACTCACCATTGCCTGGTTTTCAGTAGTAGGGCTACTTGGGATCCTCAGTTCCTTCAAAGCAGAACAACCCGTGACCCTGAAGTGTAAGACTACAAATGGCAAAAAAGAAGGACTCAGGAGATAAGAAGTGAAAGCCCACCCTGCTCCCCCCTGATGACACACAGGATTGGACAGTTCCCACAAAATGCTTTTGATTGAAAGGGGCTTCAGATCATGAACACTGAAACTTAGAGAAGTGAGCCCTTTTTAGGGAATATTATTCAATCAAGAAATGAATAAGGGCTAGAATCTCAGGTCGTTGAGTGCTGCTTTTTTTTAATCTGAGAAATGTACCCCAGAGTCTCAGGCTGCTGTTATTTTAAGGCAAGGTTTTTTTCCATAAGTGGGAACTAACCCAAACAACAGAACATTTTCATTTAATCTCAGTTATAAGGTCATTTCAGTTTATTGATTATATATGCTTGTATATTATTCAGGAATTAATATAAAATAACGACAATAACTATCAAATTTTATTTAATTTTTTTGATCTCTGATGTTTGTAGGTGACAGATTGAACTTTGAACTGGGAAGAAACCCCCTAAAGTAAAAATGCCCAATAAAAACAACACAAAAGGGGCTGGGATTGTGGCTAAGTAGTAGAGTTCTCACCTACCATGTGCAAAACCCTGGGTTCAATCCTCAGTACCACATAAAAATAAATAAGTGAAATAAAGGTATTGTGTCCAGCTACAGATAAAAACAATACATAGAAAACAAAAGATACAAGGTGAGAAACCAGCCTCTACCTCAGAGCAAAGACTGTCCAAGGAAGAGGGCATGACCCTTGTCTTTGGAAAGACACCCAGAGCACTCCTAGGCATATACCCATCCTGCTGAGTTGTTTATCTACAAGTAACAGGAGAGATCTGCTGTGCCTGGTGTCCCTGATTCAGTCAGACAAGGTGGGGATCCATAGCAACCCCTAGCAGCCAACAATCAGCATGAGACAGGGAAAATACCTGGGATTCCAGATGGCCCTTCCAGTAGTTTATGGTGGTTTATAACAATTTGGAAAATCATTTAGTTCAGCACAAACTCCCCTCAGGGCCTAAGCTAATCAGTTTAAATGAATCCCCATCTTGTACTAAACAATCACCCTTTCCAAACTTGTTCCCACCAGTGAATGTGCTAATCATGTTTTAGAGTTGTTTATGATTTTCCCAAGGTGTGTGATGATTTGCTAAGAGATGCTATGATGTATGTGGGGTACCTGGCTAACCCAAAGAGATATAAAACTGCTGCAAACCCCGGGCTCAGGGCCTCTAAGCCACCAGTTGCTGTGCATGTGGAGTACTGAGCTAGCTCACAATAAACACCTCTTTGCTGCTTACATTGATCTTGGTCTCTGGAGGTCTTTTAGGGGTCCCAAATTTAAGCATAACAGTCACTTCTGAAACCCATGGGAAAAGAAGACAGCACTCAAGTTCTCTAGGACTGCACTTTTACAGCACAAAAATTTGCAAAAGGGTGGTATCTTGAGAACTTACACAAATAACAGGATTTTGACAAGCATAATACAAAGGCAGGTAGTAGGTTAATGGTCTAAATGGTTCAGCACTTAGGGAATAAGTTTATATTACAACATCAGAATTTATGATGCACCACTAAAGTTTCAGAGTGAGTTGTTATTTGGTCAGGGAAAGGCAGAATTTATGAGTCATCACTAAAATTTCAGGGAGGGTTGTTATCTCATCAGGGAAAAACCAGACATGGGTGAGTTCAAGGCAATGGCAGGCATTTCAAGCAAGTTTACAAATCACAGTAATTTATAATGAAGCAGAAATTAACATTTCATGCCTGTGTGATGAGATGGCTCCAATGTTAAAAGGAAATTAGGCTGGATTTTTCACTTGCTATAGCCATAGCTTTTAAAGTATATATTTTATACTTTAACAAGTGTGAGCATTAAATTATTAATATTATTCAATACTAATTTTTCAAAAGACCAAGTAAAATAGAAAATAAGATATTTGTTATTAAATGCATAAAAATTTTGATTAATATATTGATAATATAAACATGGAAAATTTTGACAATTATAAAAAGACATTTAATATAATGGCTTCAATATTATAAGTCCCTCATGTTCAGTGCGTCAGTCCTTCAATGATTTTTTTCATTTTTTTAGGTCATTTTGAATTACACTTCTGCAAATGTTTGTTAAATATACAAATTTAAGATTTTGTATTTTGTAAAGTATAAAAATGGCAGATTTGAGCTCCTGTCAGGATTTTTAAAACTTATAAGCCATGTGGGGCACTTTTTTTTCATATTTGCACAGAGTCCAATTCTAGAGAAGAATGAGTTGGAGATATAGTCTACTGTCCTGAGCAAAAGCGAAATTGCCTTAGGCTATTTCTAAAGATTTTAACTTTTCTAACGTTTCAGAATTTTTGGTAATTTGAAAAAAAAATATTTTAAGAAATAAATTGTTTGAAATTAATTATTTATCTTTCTGCATTATTTTTCACTTTCATTGATTTTTTTAGAAGAACTAACAGAAGAGAATTCCAAAAGTGTTCCATGTAAATTTAAAGGTATGTTTCTAATGATCAAAATAGGAATCAGAAGCAAAACATCATCTAGTTTGATGGTTCTACCTCAAACTAGATAGTTACTTATTTATTTCTGCTATTATTCCCTAGGCTCATGAGGTTTCAGAAATCACCAACCAACAAAGAGAAAAGACTTTTAAGTTTGTTTTCATAACCAATTCAAGCTAAAATACACAACTAGTATCACTGTATTTTCAGACCAAAGTGTGTCTCTAAATAATAAAAATATGTATACATAAATATATAAAAAATAAATAATAAAATATTATATTAGATAGATTTTTTTTTGGATAATCATCTTGTACATATTTCTCTTTAGACACAGTTCTGGGAACAAAGTATCACAAATAAGACATGAATCCTACTTTGCTACACAGAGTAATTAAGGCACATACGAAGAGCTTGGTATAAAACTTGGCATAGAGATATAAATAAATAGAGAACACCATAAAAAATTATACCTAAATGCTAAGCAGCAAATTCATAGTCTTTAAGTACAGAAGAGACAAGTTATTATAGCAAATTTTATAACTCAGTTTCTGCTAATATACAGAGATATAGATATTTATTAAGAGATGCTTTTATGCATATTTTTGGTTTAAAAAGGGAAAGATCAAATAATGTAGGTGATTTAAACATGAGCAATAATATTTTTCTGCATTCAGTATCTTTTTCTCAGATATATGAATTATAATTAATTCCAACCAGTAAAATGCAGAAATAGTTTAAAGATTATTCACTATGATTAAAACTACTTAATAAGAGAACCAAGACTCCCATTCCTGTCCAAATGTTTATTTCTGACAAAAAACACTGCTTATTTTGAACCATTTCTGTAGATATTATTTTTTTGTAATAAATATTTTGGTAAATTTTTGCATATTACTTAATATATTTATGCTTCACATTTTCTCTTTTGTCCTATTTTACTACCTATATTCTGAAAGAAAAAAATTTCTAACTCCTAAACTCCCTTGATATTTGAGATATCTTTTAATTTTTAAGCTTATATCATTTCTATAATGAATACTGTGCTTTCAGTAAATAATGACTATTATTATGCACCTGGCTCATTTACAAGAGTTTTGTTGTGTTCTTTGGTTTTATTTACAGTGAAGTTAAAAAAAACAGGTTAATGTTGAACCAAAACACAAAGAAAAGACCACCAACTCCAATTTTAAATCAAGTTAAATCAAGATTGTATTGTGTACACAAAAGCTGGTCAGGACTGTCTCTTACAAGATCCCATGCTTGAGATCATCCCCCTGATCTTGAGGAAAAAGTTTTTACAGCACAAAAAGTTACAAAGGAGGTGGGTGTCTAGGGTACTTACATCTAACAAGATTTTGACAAGCATAATACAAAGGCAGATAGCAGGTTAAGGATCTACATGGCTCAACATTTCAAGATAGGGAATAAATTCAGCTCCAGACATTAGAATTTATGAGCTGCCACTGAGATTTAGAGAGAATTGTTATTTGGTCAGCAGGAGCCAGGATTTATGAGGCACCAGTAAGGTTTTAGAGAGGGTTGTTATCTGGTAATGGGTAGGCAGGCATAGATAAATTCAGAACACACATAGAAATTCCAAGCAAGTATAAAACATCAAAATATTGTCAGGCCAAGGAGAAATTTTAGTTTTCTTACAGAAAGCAGAAGCAAACTTTTTACCTCTAAAAGCTCTAAGAGAAGATTTTATTTTTTGTATTTTCTCACATCTAATGGCTTCTGGCATTCTTTGGTTGGAAACCATAAATGCTTCTCTTCTGGGTCTATGGGGCTTCCAAAACAAATTATATATATATATATATATATATATATATATATATATATATATATATATATATATATATATATATATTAGACAGATAGATAGATATAGATAAGCCCTTCTCATGGGAAAGATGTTTCTAACATAGCAAGTAACTACCCTTTAACGCCACAGGGTCTGACAACCATATTATAGGATATGAAAATCCCTCCAATATGCTTGTTCTTCCAATCATTTTTTGCAAAGATTGACAAAAGTCAATTCATTGCATAGAATGATTGAGGTAGATCTCTGCTCTGCATTAAAGAACAGGTGGTAAAAGAGGCCCCAAAGTGAGTTTAGGACAGGGCTTTACATGACATAGCTGACAAAATCCTAAAAATAGGAGAAAACATAAATTCAGAGAGAACCATACCCACATAACCTCATTTGACAGAATCAAATTCATAAGAAGAACAAAGGAAAGAGGCAAATCTAAAGGGATTTAATTATATTTTCTTTTTCAAAATTGGTATAAATATCTCCCACAATTATAGAGTTCTGGATCTCCTCAGTTACTACTTTATCATTACCTTTAACCTACAATGCATGAGGCATAATGAATTTACCCTCCTACTCTTGTACTTATCACTTATTTTTTTCTATAAAAATGTATATGTGTACAAATATATTTTTCCCACATTTCCAAGATCCTACCCTGAAAATTTCTGTGATATCACTTCCCTGAAATGCATTTTCATTATTTCATGTCAGTTCATCTAAGTATTCCATATCATCTGTTGGAAAAGATGAGACAACTCTAAGGCCCTTCTTATTTGACTATTTATAAACTATAATTAAAGGTCAACCTCAGTACCTCCAAAGAACTTAAGTCTCATTCACCTTTCTCATTCATACTGCTTTATTTTTTAAGTAGGTAGCAGAAATTTTATTTTGAAGAAGAGTAAGTGATTTAAAGCCATTCAGTGTACTTTAGAGGATCCCAAAAATTTACGGTTGTGGTTCTTAAACAACCTTATCACTGAAAGATCTGGATTACACTCCAGGTTGGACACTGATACTATGCTTCCATGGAAAACAGTTTTTTGGTTGTGAATATTGTCCTTTCACTTTCCCCTATTGTCTTGGAAATGGTGAGGATTGTGTGAATTTTTAGAATCATTATTTTGAACATAATTACCATGGACCCATTTGATAATAGGAGACATCCATACACTGAAAAAAAAAAAAAGAAGACCCTTCACCAAGCCCTAAAAAAGTGATAAAATAATCTCTGGAAAAAACAGTCATCCATTAGATTATTTTTTAAAAATACTAAGAATAAGTTTAGTTAGTAATACATTACTGTACTAGGAAAAGTGATATAAATGCAATTTTAATTTTTAAAGTTGTTTCTGATTACTATAAAGAGAGTATAAAAAGCTAGGTACATGGGCTGGAGTTGTGTCTCCGTGGTAGACTACTTTGCTAGCATGTGCAAACCACTGAGTTTGATTCTCAAAAATAGATATAAAGAAATTTCTTATTTTTTTGGTTTTGTTGTTTAAATACATGACAGAAGAATGCATCGCAATTCTTATTACACATATAGAACAATTTTCATACCTCTGTTTGTATATAAAGTATGTTCACATCAATTCCTGTCTTCATATATGTACTTTAGATAATAATGTCTATCACATTCTACAATTCTTGCTAATCTTTACACAACACTCCTACACTGGCTACTTCACATAAGCTTGCCTCAGGGATTTAATGCATTAATCAAATAGATTTTCTGCAGCCTATTCAGTGCTGTTGGAATGGCTATTATAAAAATCTAAAACTGTCTTGTATGGTGGCATATGCCTGAAATTCTAGAATCTATGAAAAATGATGAAGGAG